TAAGTGTGTTTGTAATTCTGTTAATTGCTAACACAGGATCTAACAGAGAAATGTACTGTAGTTCTTGGTCTGTTCCAAAAAACATCTCACCAAAGGACAGAACGAACCAGCTGGCTAACACTGGCACATTTACAGAAATGTTGATTCATGTGTGATGTCCTTATAAATAAAGACATGAGATGAAACTGACGTCTAATTGACCCAACACATTAATCATGTTTCTGTGTGGGATAACATGCTGTTCAGTTCTTGGATTATGAAATAACAAATTACAAGTCTCCATCTCAATACTTTTCTACATCTAATCAGGTCAGAAACGAGACAAAATCCACCGATAAATGCAAAATGTTCTTTATTACTGGTCTGGGACACTGAACAATAATACACTGCTGTTTTTTCATGTGTTGCCTTCAGCAGCTGTTTTGCTCTTATATAAATAGGTGTGGATGATGCTCAAGGCTGCGCTCCCTTCTGCGCTCGAACACCTCAGACCACGTGACCAGCAGGCGCACAAAACCTTAACACCGCGCGCTCCCACAGCACTCTGCACCGGCTGTCTGTCCGCAGCTCACTGTAGTTCAGACTGACAGTATATCCGGGGAGTAAACCTACGATATTCCCCCCGGCATATCCTCAAAACAACAACAAATGTAATTTCCAACTGGCTTCCAGTCCTGTGTGGAGTTGCTGCAACTGTTGGTGAAGAGAGTGAAGACAACCGACTGGTTTACTCCCAGTTTTCTTTTTGTTTTCTTTGCTTTTTTTGCGTTATGAACCGAGGAAAAATGTTTGTGCTGAAAAAATCAAGGTAGGCTTCTTTTTATTTGCTGTTTTAATCGTGTTTTTAATTATCTTTGTTTAATTTATTTTGAGTATAATCGCCCAATTAATGAAGGGACAGCTTTAAATCAAACTGGTGTAGACTCTATATATTTTTCTTTTAACGTATTTTTTTCGAATCTCAAGTTTAAATGTGAGCTAAATCTGTTCCTGCTTTTCAAATAGTGTTATTCCAAACCCTCAATGCAAACTTCACCGTTAATTATTAATATCATAATTACTGGTATCAAAATGTTGACGGATCATTGGACAGATTTGTGCAGTCTTTATCTGGTTTCTCCCTAGATACCTAATTAATCCAATGATTATTGAGAAGATTCAAAAGCGTAATGCCTAATGACCTGCTTTGATGAATAAGTAAGCTTGACTGTCCTACATACTTAATGCAGTGATTTCCCCTGAGGCTGCACAGGTTTGTCATCAACTGTTCAGTTTCCCACTATTGTCTGGGATGCATCTGGTCTGGAGTCAGCTGGCTGATGCACAATATCTCCCAGCAACAAATGTATTTTCCCGCTATATTAACCATTGATGATTTTTCATGTACTCAATTAATATAATAATTGAATTTAATGTGATGTATTTAGTCTTTTTCAATTAAATTATTGCATTATTCATGAGATAAAATCTCCTTTTATTTCCTTCATAGATGTCCCTTTGCATGGATGTAAAGCTGTTACGCCACAGTCCTCTCCACTGAGCATCTCTACAGCCACAAGGCAGCCATGAAGTTGGCTTTGCAAAGGATTGCAGGCAGCACAATGAGTACACTAACGACAGGTGTCCAGTATCTCGGCTCCAACGACGCCAGCTACGACGACACCTCCATTGACTCGACTTTAGTCAAGAACCGTTTCCATTTTGAGAAGCCTCACTCCGCCTCGATAAGTAACGCCTTCCCTGGAAATAAGGAAGTAATTATCAGCGGCCTCGCTCCCATTTTCCCCACAAATGTATCGGACTTTCTGCTGAGTAATGGCACGTCTGTGGAGAGTGGAGGGGCGGCACAGTGTGGGGAGGACTTTGTGGACAACATGGAGTGTTTTATGATTCTGACTCCCGAACAGCAGCTCGCAGTCGCCATCCTGGCTCTCACGCTGGGTACATTTACAGTGCTGGAGAACCTCATGGTGCTGGTTGTGATCCTACACTCCCAGACACTTCGGTCTCGGCCTTCCTACCACTTCATAGGCAGTCTTGCTGTGGCTGATCTGATCGGCAGTATCATATTTGTCTACAGTTTCCTGGATTTCCACGTCCTCCACAGGAAGGACAGCCCCAATATTTTCCTCTTTAAGCTGGCGGGGGTCATCGCCTCCTTCACCGCCTCTGTGGGCAGTCTGTTTCTCACTGCGATCGACCGCTACATCTCCATCCACAGGCCCATGGCGTACAAACGTATCGTCACAAAGAATAAAGCAGTCATTGCCTTCAGTGTGATGTGGACCATCTCCATCGTCTTCTCACTGCTGCCTCTGCTGGGGTGGAACTGCAAGCGTCTCAACTCTGTCTGCTCGGACATTTTCCCTCTAATCGACCAGAAGTACCTGATGTTCTGGATCGGGATGACAATGATCTTGGTCCTGTTCATCATCTACGCCTACATTTACATCCTCTGGAAGTCCCACAACCATGCTGTCCGGATGCTGAGTCGCAGCTCCCAGAGGAGTGTGATTATCTACACTGCAGAAGGGACTAAAGTACAGACGGTGAGGCCAGAGCAGGCCCGGATGGACCTCCGCCTGGCTAAAACCCTGGTTCTAATCCTAGTGGCCCTCATCATCTGCTGGGGCCCACTTCTAGCCATCATGGTGTACGACCTCTTCGGGAAGGTGAACGACTCCATCAAGACTGTGTTTGCCTTTTGCAGCATGCTCACCCTGCTCAACTCCACCGTGAACCCTGTTATCTATGCCATGAGGAGCAAGGACCTGCGCAGGGCCTTCGTCAACATCTGCCATATGTGCCGGAGAGCGACGCAGACTCTGGACAACAGCGCTGAGAGTGACTGGAACAGCAGGAGTGTGAGAAGCACAGCAGCAGGCGGGGCGGGGAAAGATGGAGCCCGCTGCGGAAAAACTCGAAAAAAAGTAGCCCAGGTTTCTGTTTCTGGAGGGACTGAGACTTCTTCAGCAGAGCCGGTCTAAAAGACAAGCTGCACTACTCTGGTACAACTGTGAAGTTATTGTAGATTATAGTTCTGACACTACTACTGCACTGTTCTGTTACTGTGAAATGTGCCAAAAAAAGACTTAGATACAGAACTGAAGATCAAGTTTCTGATGACACTAAAAATCTGTAATATTTCATCCAACTGTATGGTGGAGTGTGATGATACTCTGTTCATGATCTGTTATTGAGAAGTTGTTTGTTAAGTTGCACAATTCTGATTGACAATACCAATTGTATCTCATTATATTCAGTAAACCCTATAGTTATATCAACCAGAAGCATATTTTCTGCAACAACGGTTACAAGCTAAACACTCCGCTCTGTTGCTGCGGTTTGGTTGTGCATTAAGTTACAGATTTATGCTTAAAGGTAGACAAATATGTTGTTCCTTTTGGTCCTTTCTTTTTTTACACTACATCATAGCAATATTGTGACAGTAATGCAAGGTGAAACTGTGTATACCGTCATGCTACATGAACGTTTTAAATGAGGGCACACTGCTTGTAAATAGAATTAGCATCCCATTAGTGATTTGAAATCAGCTTTTGATGATTCTGTAAGAACATGATATTGTGAAATTTAGCTTTTTAATGTTATTTTAATGTATTTATTGTTTATTTTTTGTGTTTATATTTTGCAAAGCAAAATGGTGAGTCATACCTGGAAATACAAACAGGTTTTTGATCAAATCAAAACTTAAGTCTGTAGTGATTTGGGAATGTTAGTTGCTTAACACGTGTGTTTATGAAACAGTGAAATCATTTAGTGAGAAGCTACATTTTTGTATTTTTGTGAAGCATTCATTGTGCAATTTCTCTGTGCAATTGTGTCTTATAACTGTGTTCAATAAATATATGACAGTTGACTATTTTTAACATACTTTTGTCCATATACCTGGTGTCTTTTTCTAATATATACTTGTACTTTACTTGAGTATTTCCATGTTTTGCTACTTACTTTTACTGCAATACATTTCTTTAATACCTTTAGTTACTTTACAGATTTGGATTAATGATTTCAAATATACTCAACACTTAAATAAGACTTCAGTTACACCTGGAGTAAACTCTCAAGCTACCCTGCTGTATACAAAGTAATTCAAACTAGCTGCACCTTTACCAGCTGTGAAAACACTTTAATGCTTCAATAATTATAATCAAAACATACAGTATAATATATTATTCTGAATAATACGTAATTGTGCTTTTGGTACTTTAAGTATATTTTGATGCTAATTATTTTTGTACTTTTACTTGATTAACATTTGGAAATGCAGGACTTTTTATTGCTACACTCTGGTACTTTTACTCAAGTACAAGATCTGAGTACTTCTACCAGCTCTGCATTTATGTATAGTGGTATTGTTATATTTAGAAAAAACTGTACAGCAGTTTCAGAAGGCAACATATATAATGCAGGTATAAGTACAAGTAAAGACCATTACTTGTGAACCCTTTTCTACGGCTTTGGTCTTAAATTAGACGCTTAATAACGAGCCTCTCAACCCTGTTTTATGTGTATGGTTCACCCATACAGGATTTTTAAATATTTTACATTGAGGCACTTTAGGGCCTTAAGAGATACAAATATTTCTCACAACGGAAACTTGAGGAAAGCGACAAAGAAATAGGCCTAATTTTGTGTGATAGTATTATGGATTTTAAAGTTAAAGCCTACTTTTTCACTTCATGTTGACCTGCTGTGTGTTTTTTTGTGTAACACTGCCCTCCTGTGGAGATACAAGATATAACATAAATCCATTGTCTCTAGTATTTCCCCTGGAATGATTGTAGTGATGAATGAAGTAGTAGTTCACAACATTGTATGCGATGCACCTCTAATGTAGTCAAATTGTGAAACGTGAATTTCGCATTTCGTATGCTATAATTAGGATGACATTAACCTTTAATTTATCATATGTTAACGTTTCACTACATGACCCAGGATGCACTGCAGCTCAGTTCGCACGTGACGTCACGGGCAGAGAAGCCGACAGCCCCGCATGAAAAAACAAGCAGCTAGTTAGCTAGCTCCCTGTCTAACAGCAGCAGACAGTTGGCCCGCAGCCGGCTGATCGTCTCCTCAACTTTTGGGAAGCAACTTTTAGAGTAACACGAATTGTTGATCGCAGTTGGACAGACCTACTTCCCCCCTTAAGGTAAGAAACGTTTGTATTCAAATGTACACATCAGCGCAGGGTTCAACGTATGGTAGCCAAAGCTAACGTTAGCTTTGTTTTCTTTTTGATTATTGGCTAGCAAGCACAGCTATCGTTAGCTTGCTAGCAAATATTTAAAGCCTCAGCTGCGCAGTATGTTTAGCGTGTATTCCAAAGCGAAGGAAACGGCTTTTAGTGTAACAATGCACACTCTACTATGCAAGTCTTGTTAAACATTGGTCGTGGTTGGTAGTTATTTGAAACGTATGATGTTAACACTTCAATATTGTCCTGTTTCGGTATTTCGCACCCCCCCTCTCTCTTTAACAAACTGAAGTCATGGCGTGTGGAGCCACCCTGAAGAGGACCATGGATTTCGATCCCCTGATGAGCCCTACGTCCCCTAAAAGACGAAGATGTATCCCCGTGGCCCCATCGTCCTCATCCTCATCCCCTAGGAAGTACCTTAGCATGGAGCCCTCGCCATTCGGGGAATCGTCGTCAAGGCTTAGTGCAGGTAATGTTACTAATGTTGGCCTGTCTGCTGACCAGCCATCGGTTTGAGAGGCTTTAGCATCACGTTGAACCATACTTTAATGAACAAGACACATATATATGTATCAATGTGAAAGGGAATTTGGAATCCTAGCATGACAGCTGTTTTGTCTTCCCTAACAAATACCTCACTGTCTTTTTCACTTTCTTTTGTCCCATTAGAACAAATCCTCAACAGCATCAAGCAGGAGTACAAACGCATTCAAAAGAGGAAGCATCTAGATGGAGGCTACCAACAGTCAGAGTGCTGCTATTCTCCAGAGTCCCCATCCCAGTCGTCTACTATGAATGTTTCCAGCATGCCAGGTTGGTTGAGTAACACATTGCCTACACCAGAGACCGCTCCAGAATGACTGTGACATGTACTCAGGCAACCAGAAATACCACATACATCATGATTCTCAGGGTTTTTGTTTGATTTGTACAGGAACGTCCTCTGGAGGCATTTCACCCACTAGAAAAGAACAGCCATTATTCACCCTCAGACAAGTTGGAATGATCTGTGAACGTCTGCTCAAAGAAAAGGAAGAGAAGGTGCGAGAGGAGTATGAGGAGACCATGACTTCAAAACTGGCAGGTTTGTACACATTGAGCAATTTGTTATGCCTCCGAATAACACAAATCAATCAGCAGTCCAAAACCTAATGGAGTCCAGTTTCAAATAATGACAATTCCAAGCTAGAACGAGCAACAGTTTGGCATTCATGCTGATAAGCAACATTGTTCAATTGATAAGTGGACTCGTATTTGAAGCACCTCTATAATTGTCTCACAAGTTATCATATGAAATGTATATTAATATCATAATTAACTGACTTTTCCCAAACTTTTTTTATTTCATTTACTGTGTGTAAAGTGAACCAAGCAAAACATCCTCAAATGTGAATTTGCAACAGAGAAATGTTTGATATTTTTTACTTCAGAAAGCCAGATTTGAATATGGGAATATTTTAATTCCTAATGACATAAATACTATAAGTACTTTGTGTGATCTGTACCATAGATACAGGACAAGTCTCTAAGGAATTGATCATCTCAAAGACTAATTAAGCACAATACTGATTCTTATTTCCTGTCCTGTACATTTCAGAACAATATGACACCTTTGTGAAGTTCACACATGATCAGCTAATGCGACGATTCGGGGAGCAACCTGCAAGCTGTGAGTTTTTTCATTTCATCTGAAATTATTTTCACATTCCTGTCTTGGATCTTTGTTTGAGCTCTGCCTTTTGAAGTTTAAGTAACATGTCTGGTTTCTGTATTTTATTTCATCCCCCTCTTCTCCAGATGTTTCCTGAGTGTGGCCCAGAAATATTTGCAAGACAGCCTTCTCTTGCTGCAAGCTATCACGTGATATCTCAAGAAAGAACAAGAAAAAAAAGCTCATCATTGTAAGAGATTCAGTTTAGCTAGTTTAAATGAAACTTTTCTTACTGTGCCATATTTCTGTCTTTGGGCAAAGGTTTATATGGAGCTGTTGTCAGTTGTTACCACTCTGTTAGCAACTAGGTGCTTCCTTATGTAAATTAAAAGGACCCTATCTCTACCGGTGGCCTATGTTCCTCCTGCTGTACGTGTATCTACAGTTATCTCACTTTTGTAATGATTCCCAGCATTCCAGGCTTTGTCACTTGTTCTTCTGTTTGTTACATGTAAATATGATAAAGCAGTGCAAGAGTTTTACTTAAGGTTTGCTGGTCAATCTGAGAGGAAGGGGAGGAAACGCAGCAGAACAGAGCGAATATGTTTGCAGATTGTCCTCTGTTCATTACTTTTTAATTTGAGCATTAAGTGGGCTAATTTGATTTTTTTTTTCTCCCTACCAGTGTTTTATTTATTTTGACTTGTTTTTTGCTGGTATCACTTTGAAACCAATGTACTCAATGGAAAAAACAATAAAAATCTTTTAAAGAGTTCAGAATTGGTTTGAATTATTTAAGACATTGTTGTTGTACCACTTTGATTCAAACTAATATTCAATTATTTAAAAAGACTAAAAGTGAGGTCTTTTATATGAAGCAATTATTTTCTTCGTTTTTTTTAATTGGTGAATGGTTTCTCAATCTCTGGTGAATGGTTTCTCAATCTCTAGTCAACTATGACTCCTGCAAATGTACCTACATACTCGTGAAATGTTTATTAATTGCATGTAATCAACCTGATAGTATAGTTAATTGATAAAATAACACCTATGTATACTACAGTATAGCAACATATTGGCTCAACCCTATCAAGTTACGTTTCTAAGACACTTATTACTAATACTTCTCCAGTACCTGACATGATTTGACCAGAAACAGATATAGAAAGTGTGGGTTTTCAGTCGCTACTCGCAAATATTTTATTAGAGGAAAAAATACAGTACAAAATCAAGTTTGATAAGAGCGTGAATGGAGACTGTAGCTACAGATTTACATGAGATTTAGTTATGAGAGTTGTGTCAGCAGCCTCCCCAGGTGATTCGAGCCACATGGTCGGTCTTCTGTTTAGTGGACTTTATGAAGCCCAGAAATTCAAGCTCTGACACAGCTCGAATGAAACGAGCGCTAGAAGAGAACAAGCTAAGGAACAACACTTATCGATTGTGGATGGAAGTCAAATCGGTTTGTTAGCATTACGTTAGTAACAGTGGCATAGTATGATGGCGGGTTAACATGTTTGTAGATTCAGTTATGGAAGGATACTGTTTGACATCATCCACTTTCCCAAAACTGTCAGAGTCGGGATCGTTGCCCTCGGCAGCAGACACCACAGTCGCAAAGGCCTGAAAACAAGATAAACAGGTTTTCACCCAGGTCCGTATCTAGTCCATTCTGGGCCGATATTGGATTTTCAGATCAATAACGTGACATATTGATCCTCTGAATCAATAAAACCTCCTCTAGAATGAGGAACTTCCAACAAAGTTTGTAGGGCAAATGTGCTGTTACTTAAAGGTCCCCTATTATACTGTTTTTCATCAATATATAATAGGTCTCAGATATATAGAAAACATGTCTCTGAAGTGTTTGGCTCGAAATACCAAACAGATCATGCATTGTAGCATCCTATAATCCCCTCAGTTTCAGCCCCGTTTCAAAAGTGCTGATTCTCTGTCTGTTACTTTAGATGAAAATAAGGAGCCACTCCCCACGCCCCTCTGCGAGATATTTGGTTAAAAATAACACAATAGCCACTTTGCCGTACTTAGTTCCCAGTACTTAGTTCCCCTGAACTCTTTAGTTCCTGGAACTAAAGAGTAGATCGCGTTCACACCGGAATAAGTCCCTGAGGGAGGATTACGCAAATGAAGCCGCTGATGTCACTTCTTTGTCTTCTGCTTTGGGTTTACTGGCAGGCCGCAAACAACTTCACGGCGTATACTGCCACCCGAAGTCCCGGGTAAATCGCCAGAAGCGCCGACATCTCCTCATCACTCCACCGCTCCCACGTTTCATTTTGTGTTGCCATAAGTTAGTCTCTCTCCGTTGGTGCGCTGGGCTAATGCTAATAATGCTAATGCGAGCAAATAAAATGGCGGCTTCACAAAACTTTTCTGAGTTTTACGGGGCGTGGTTTGCAATTCGCCCAGCCAATCAGAAATTGGAACCTTTTCCTCCCCAGGAAAGTACCACCTCTCTAGCAGGGGGTGAAAAGGTTCCAGAAAAAAACGAAAAAAAAGTTCTAGTTCCAGATGTTTTTGGTGTGAACGCAAAATCCCAAGAACAATCGGAACTATTCCTGGGAAAAGTACACCGGTGTGAAAGCTAGGGATGCTCCGATCGCCAATTTTGGGGCCGATCGCCGGAATCAGTATCGGCCGATACCGATCGCCGATCCGATCGAGTGGGCGGGGCCTAAATGGAAGATTTAAACATCACTTTAAATCTTCCATTTAAAGTGATGTTTAAAACTCAGTTAATGGGGCTCATTCACTGGAGCTTCCACAAACAACAATCAACTTAATTATTACATTCAAATTATGTATATTATTCAAGTTTACATTCACTTTGGATAATACCACGGGAGAAATGAGCGGAAGCGCTCTCTCCCTCTCTCTCCCCCTCTCTCCCTCTCCTGACAGCCCGTCAGTATCGTCTCATGCAGCTCGCTGATCCAGTAATGTGTGAGGCCGACAGTGAAGAATAAACATATTTATAACTAGTTTAGCTTGTTCCAGAGGTAGATAAAATAGCTAAGTGTGTTAGGTCTAACTCTTGTGTGTTTCGCTCCGCTCACCGGTCCATCACAGCGGGTGGAGCTGCAGGATTTCTGCTTCACACACACGTTGCATACCGCTATTTGACTGTCTTTTTCGGACACCTTAAAATAATGCCAGACCGGTGAAGCCATTTTGGCGAGCTTGTTTTGCCGCGTACAGAGAAAAGTGTCATGTATTTTACGTCATGCGATCGGCCCTCGCGATCGGCATGTTTAGAGAGCACCGATCGATCGGTAGAGAGTGAGTATCGGCAGATCTCGATCGGTGACCGATCGATCGGAGCATCCCTAGTGAAAGCGCCTAATGGTGCTCTAGGAGGAGATTCAGGTGATAAGGTGGCGGTTGGTTATTGGCTAATGGTTACACAACCCAAAAACCTTATGACATCATAAAGTGGCCAAAATCTGATCAGTTCATTTTCAGACAGGTTTTTAAATGGATCAGGACAAAAAGTGAGTGAATCTTTTTTCCTGAAACTTTCAGAATCTCTTTACACAGAGGGGACACATGTTTATGTATAACAGACATGAAAAAGTGGATTTTGCATAATAAAAATTAAACTCAATTATAAGCCAAATACCAAACATATAAACTCACTTCCAGCCAGTCGAAGAGGTTTATCAGCCTGCCGCACTCCAGGTGGAGTTTGTACACGATGCAGATATCAGGAGCTGCGTTAGAGACGGACCCATCCTCAGACTTTAGGCGGTCATTCTGAAGGAAAAGCAAAGAGACCCCAATGAAGCTACTCTCACCGCTTTCAGTTTCTCCTTATCTTAAGATAGTTACACACTTTGATGGAATTAAGAAGTACCTGGAGATAATAGAAGGGGCTGTTGAGCGCAGCCTGAATGGAGGTGCGCGGTGCTGCATTCAGGTGGCGTCTCATAGTGGCTGAAGAAGAGTAGTAGCAAACTTCATACAGTGTCTGAGACTCTGGGGGAGACAGGTGGCTCCTGGGAGGGAGAGAGATGTTAGTCAAATAATCATTTATACCACATTTATTACAATTTGAATTCAAGCAGAGCAGAAGGTAATACTTCTTACTGCACTAAGCTGTCGACAAATTGGAGAGTTTCATTTCGCAGAACCTCGAATGGACTCAGTTTTTTGGATCTCCGAGACTCGTTCATCTCCAGCAGGGCCTAGAAATATGTGAGAATAATTTATGGATCAAACTCATCAGAGAGGAAGAGAATTCCTTCACAGAAATGCGGTAAAGATCACATTCTTCAGAAAACCATAAAAACCTTCTGCAGCTGGAACAGATCCGTTTTCTTTTGAAGGTTTTTCATCGGGGAGGTGATACTCTCTTCAGCAGGAGGGGGGGGTTCAGCAACTACTGCTGTGAAGAACAAGACAAAATCATTTGTTGCGTATTCACTAACTACGGTAATAAGATATAAAGATATGCAAGTCTCTCCATTTGTACTACTTACTGTCCAACTGCTTGAATTTGGCGAGCATGGCTTCCAGCTGGAGAAGAGCACTTTTCATATTCTTAGACATGGAATGCTGCAATATCTCCGCACACTTCTTGAGCAAAGAGATCAGCTCATCTTTAGCCAGCATCCTAGAGGGTAAGGATTGGGGTGAGGAGGTTAACAACTTCTGCTTTGTTCACAATAAAAAAGCCAGTCTCAAACAAAGGAAATTGGTCCAATGCTGTTTGACTGTATAAAAATGGCTATTTGGCCACCAGGAGGAGCAATAAACATCCAAATACCATTGCATATGCTGCCATCTAGAGAATAAAATGTGTAAATAATGTTTTTTTATTAAAAATTAGACTTTTTGACAAGGTTTTGACAACACATGGAATTTGGGATTATTTTTAAACAGTGGGCATGGCTCGAAAAGCCTCCTGCCTACAATGAGGATTCATGATCGTCCATGTCGGTTCTTCTGGTTGAAACACAAGTTAAATATAAAGATTTACTTCAGAAGCTTCATGGCTGATTGGTATTCCTCATTCTCCCAGACGTTCTTCTCCAGACAGATTAAATGGAGCTCTCTGATCTGTAACACATACACAATTCCAGTTTTAGAAGACATGATAGAATTACCTCAACACTACAAAGTTTTTTTTTAATTTTTTATATAGAGCAGTCATTTCTTGCCTGTTTCCCAAGCGGGTATCGAGGTAATGATGAGGTCAGAGCGTGGAGACACCTCAGGGTGGGATAATAGTGTTTGTGGTATTCGCGAAGGTCTTTTATCAGCCTCCGGCACACCTCCTAAAAAGACAGAAAAGCCTTAGATTCTGACGTGCTTCCATTACTTGCCAATGCCTCAGGTGTAGAGATAAAACAAAAATGTACCTTCAAATGAGTGTCATCTGTGAGCAGGTGCTCCTGTTCCTGAGGTTCCTGCTTTTCTACATACCTAGAAACACACAGGTTAGACTCTATTTAAATGATTAGTTGTACATTTGAAAAAGCTCAATCAAATCCTACAACAAGGTACTAACACATGAACAAAAATTGAGTTAGCCGGTGAATAAAACTAAATGATATATGTGTGTGTTTGTGTGTGTACCTCTTGAAGGACGGCAGCTGTCTGATCCTCTCTAGGTCCTGGTGACCAAGCTGCATCACATTAAGCAGAGCCTCCTTCTTCCTACAGCACAGCACACTGAGAGGCTGAGAGTGAAAGTGCTCCAGCAGGGCCAGCTGCACCAACACAGAGCAGAAAGCTTGCAAACCACTTATCTAAATTACACTTACATACAAAGAGAAAACTGGTAAAAAAAAAAACATAGGATACCTGCACTCAACATCAACAAATATTAAAACAAAATACTTATTTGGGATGTTGAGTGTAGCAGTCACAAAGAAATGGCTCAAACCAAACAGCCCATCTATAGATAAGATAGAATATCTATATCTATATGTACGATATCATTTATGACATCTTTGTAATGGAAAGAATAACCTTCTCTATCGAACTTAAATTTGAGGAAATTTGGGAGAAGTGTATATTACCCTGATGCGACCTTCTTTTGTTTAACTGTTTGAATCTTTTATTTAATGATCTATACTGTCAATGTTTTATATTGAAAAGAAAACACCCCATGTTCTTGTGTGCTTATTGTTGTTGTTTTGTCAAGAAAAAGAAAAAAGACGGACCACTCTGTAAAACAATTTTTAAAAATGTAAAAAAAACATAGGATACACATGTTGGATAAGCTCTTAGAAGCTACTCTGTACCTGAACACCCTTGATGAAGTTTCTCACTGAGAAATCGTGGTAGAGGAAAATGCTGATCAACACCTGCATCACTTTGCCGTTGAGCTTGAAAGGGAAATGCGTTGTCAGGATCAACTGGAAACATAAACGAGACAAAATATACAATTGACTTCCTGGTCATTCATTTCAAGACAACACAGCAGCCAAATACACAATTTGATTAAAAAAAATCTGCAACATGTTTCATGTCTTCATGTTGTATATCTGTATACTTAAAGAGATCAAATTGCAATAACGTTGTTCTAACAGAACATTTCCATGTCAAAAAAGGTTGCTTGTGAACCTGCTAATGGATGAGATACGGCAAAAACCAAGCTTCCATTATTATTTATAAGATTTGAATCAAGCACATTTCATAAAAGGCTGTTTTTTCTTGTTATTTTGTTTTAATGAAAACTGTTTATACATCTCAAAAATGAAAAGTATTTTCTGCTTCATGAACTTTAAAAACAACAAAAAAAAAAATCAAAACACCTGGACAAGAGTTCATTTCTTAAATGTAGACGTAACAAAAAAATAATTTGATACAGTTTTACTTATTAAATCTTCATGATTAGAAGTTGTGCAATACCCACTATTTCACCATGCTATGTCTACATAAGTATATCTATTTTACAGTTTGACACAAAATTGGATGGAAGATTGGCAAATTTAATTTAGAATAAAACAGGATAGAGAAATAACACAAAGTCTTTCAGTTGTGGAAGCTCATTACATCACTCTCTACCATATTTTTTTAATGCATACTTCCTATAGTGAATGTGAGAGTAACCATTACCTTGTCTATGACTGTGGCCAGGTGCTGAGTACAGGAGAGCGACTGGAAGAGCTCTATGCACAGCAGGGAGGACACAGAGTGGGGCAGCATGTGTTGGATGGTGCTGGGTGACGTGGCGATACCAAAGATGAACATCAGCGGAAGACGTTCAATGTACCGGCTGGGGAATGGATAACATGTTTTAACAGATGTTTGAATAATAGACGAGATATTTAAAACACTGATGGATGAATTTTTCCTTCAGTGAATCATTTAGTTTAACACTAGTGTCTAGAATAACTCCCTTAGCTTCCAAGTGTATGTGAAGGTAGCTACAAAACCAGACTGGTATACGACTTTCCAAATAATAATCGTTATCTTTTAATACCATAACCAGGAGGCGGATGACAACAATAAAATGATAAGGAAACAGTTCAAGTGTACGGCTAAAGCAGGGGTGTCCAAACTTTTTTCACCGAGGGCCACATACAGAAAAATATACGAAAGGCTGGGCCACTTATAGAGGTATGTTGCCTCGTAAGTTAAGTTATAAGTTAACAAAATCAATAAATGTAGGTAAATGATGCTTGATACTTGAAAATGCTTTAAGAAACACAACAGCCTACATCTCAGCTCTCCATAGGGTTTCATTTATTTTGTTGGCAGCTCTTCTAAAAACAGAAGCCTCAGATTGCTTTTAAAAAGAGGAAATATAAAGGGTATATTTCAAGCTTGTAATGTAATTAAGTTATTGGGCACTTTTTATCAACTAAGATTTGTTTGAAAATGTTTCCCTAACTTAAAGGGGACCTATCATGCAAAATGCACTTTTGTACGTCTTTTATACATGAATATGTGTCCCCGGTGTTCCAGGGAACTCACCAAGTGTCAGAAAACACAACCCTCTCTATTTTCCTCCATACCCAAATCTCTAAAAAAGGGGCTGCAACGGATCTGATAAAAACTGATCCAGATTTGAACACTGTCCTGACGTCAGGACGGTGGCGCTACGGCTATTGGGCCAACTCCACCAATCAGGAGGAGACAGCCACGGCCATTGCCGTTCGAAAGCGCTGGAGACGCTGTAGTACATATGCCAGGCCTGTAGATGGTGCTGTTCTCACATTATCTGCCCTTGCAAAAACAGAGCTAAAAAATGTCAAATTGAGCAAAATGAGGCATGGCTAAAATGCATGATCTGTTTGGTATTTTGAAAAAAAAAAAGTATAAATATGCCTTATATAGGTATGGTCCTATACTATATTATTCAAATATAGCATGATAGGTCCACTTTAAATTGACTGAATTTATTTGAAAAGTGGGCTTATTAACACATGAATACTACTGTGTAATATATTTGTACATGTATATTTAAAAAGTACAATATAAGACAAGCACAAGTTTAATTTGTGGGCCATATTCCATTATACTTTTTGAATTTGCTGAGGGCCAATTCAAAATATCCCGGGGGCCAAGCCTTAGTTTGGACCCCCCTGGGCTAAAGCATTGAAGTTACCTGCAGATGAGTATGAAGTCCTGAAGAACTCTTGCATTGAAAGCCTCCAAATCTTTGAAAATAATGACAATGGGAGGCTGCTGCAGATTATCTTTGACCGGAGAGCTACGCTTCTTTCCAGGCGTAAGAGAGTAGGATTTCTAAAACACAGGGAAAAGTGCTTTCAGCTTTTCAAAGTCTTTCCATGCACCAAATTGCAAATCTAAAATCATGTACACTGGTTATGCTTTACGGTCCTACCTTTGTATTCCTAGTGTACCAATCACAGAGTGTACTGAGGGAGCAGTGCACGCTCTTGTGGAGCGGAGCACTGGTCTGCTCCGTCTCCTCTTCCTCATCATCATCCACAGTCACATCAGTGCCCATTAACCTCTCCAGGACCCTCTTTATTAAATGCTTCAAGGCTGAAATGAAAAAGAAAACAATATAAGAAAAGAAAGAATTAAGTCACTACCACTATTATTCTAGGACACAAAGAGATAAGTTCCTTAAAATTGCAATTAAATTATCGCTCTAGTCTTTTACCTCCGCACTCTTTGGCCTGTACTGAGGCCACATGAGGAGTCACCGACTGCCGGAGCAGTTCAGACAAACTCTGGAAGGTCATGTCATGGTCCGGGACATTTACACCTATGTGAAAGATATCAGAGGAAAAGAAAAAGAAAAAGAAATGTATGACAATGTTAGCTTTGAAACCCCATATTGGAACACCACAAGACTGGGGAAAAAACAGACATTAAATTATAATTTTATACTAAACTGGCTGTGGATAATCAATCAGCAAATGACATAGGTTATTATCAACAATTTACCGAGAACAAGAGCCGCTGTGGGGATCTCGCTGGCCCTCATATGTGATGCCCAGTCACTGTGCTGGCGAGTGGAAGAACACTTCCTCGTGAAGTCCAGCAAGCTGTCCAGGATTTTCGTGTTGAGTTCATCCTGTAAAAGCTTACAGATAGCAAAAAAAACATTGTTAAACCCATTGTTTATGACAATTCAAACCCACAAACTGTTTATGATACCCTGTTTGGATGGAATATTATTAAGGCTATTGTTTACCATCTCTTTAGTGTGGGAGTTTTGTTTAAAATAATGCACCGTTGTACAATTGGGATGGCATCAGCTGTTTTTAGTCTGGGTGTTCACTGCTTTGGTTTTGTATATTTTGAGACATTGTATGAACCTTGCCTAGTGCAACAACCAATTATTTCCCAGTTGAATAGTTTACCTAAATAAATAGGTCAAAAAATAGTAAGAAATGTTTCTCTTAGTCAAGGGTGATGTCTTTAGATCCATTGCTTCGGCAGTCCATTCATCGCTTTATCCAAACGATTTAGAGTGTTATCGATCTAATGCTTATAATAAATAAGGTTGCCAACAATTACAATATTGTATTAATTCATTCACCTCTATTATCCCTGACTTCTATTTGTTCTGTTCTGTTGGTTAGGAAACACATTGAATGCTCTTACCTCTGTGTCCGTTTTAATTTGATCCCAAAGATCCTGACACAGTTTGAATCGTGTTTTACTCTCGTCAGCCCCTTCACAGCCATGGATGAAATTATCCTCTGTGGAGAAATGGCATCAAGGTGAGTGTAACACCAGACAGCTAAAATGAGGACAGTCTTCTATTAACATTAACATAACTCACCCAAACTGAGTGTCTTTTTCTTCTTAGCACTGGGCTTGAAAACAAAGCATCCCTGTAATATATACGGCGATAAGTTACAAACAGTGGAAGTTTACAATGAACATAAACAAAGAAAGTAAACTTTAATATGGCAATATTATGTCACAGACTGCAAGCTAGTTTCACGAGGAAGCCCTGCAAAAATAATAACGTCAGGATATTACGTTACCTTGGACACAGATGAAGTTGACATCTTAGTTTTAGCTACATGTAACCGTTTTTTAACTTTAGTTTAGTTCACACAGTGACTTGAGCTGCAGTCAGATATTTGTTTAAAATACTGCTTGTGCTGTATTTAACAAACCCCCTACTACTTCCCGCCAATATGACGTTTACGGAAAGGGCTGTGTTCACGACACATAAGGGGAAAACGCCTGTGTGTTTAAATGGTAGGTTATCGCACATGATTAAAGTGTATATGCTAACACATGCTAACGTGACATATACAACCTCAAAGTATTTTACATCAGTTTAGTTTCATTATGTTAATCCTCTCCGATGTTTTAATGCGGTGAATTCATTTAACACTGCTGTTCTTGAACACCCCCGCCTCTTCACAGCATCTCTGGTTTCCCTGTTGTGGCCTCTCACTCAGCCATGGATGTTTAAACTCTCTGCAGGTCCCCTGTTGCAGTCCCTAAACATCATATTCACATGATACCAATAACTTCATAATACATATACATACAAATACAATATTCGAATTAATTATTTTCTTTCTATACATGATTTAAAAAAATGTACTTAGATTAGTTTTCTCTGAGATCAACAGCCTTTGGTACAATAATTTCAGTTGTAAAGATTTATTATGGGTCCTAAGCAGATGGCAACACACAAAATTAACATAGATAAAAAAATATTAGTTTATTAGTTATCAAATGTGTAAATTGTTTGCTTAGATCTAACGCTGTAACTTATTGCTGTCTTTAATTTTCCTATTCATAAATAATATAATGATGATGCTCCCTAGTAGAACTTATTGTGAAAAATATACAATAGTGGTAGCATGAGTAACAGTAAAGCTAGTAATAGTATTAGTTAGTACTTAGTGTAAAGTTACAATTATTGAGTTTTTAAAATAAATTTTTATGACATGTTTAATATTGAATTTGTCTTTCAAATGTTAATTATTATTATAAGACTGGTCTCATAGAAACAAGGAACTGGCCAGGACTTTTCACTTTTGTATAGTATTTATATTTACCTAATTTATTTACAATTTACAATTATTACATTGTATAGATTTCTGGTCGTTCCCAATAAAATAAACTTAAGCAAATTAAGTTCAGTTAATGTGTAACTTATATCTTAGTAAAATATTATTTTTAGCGCAATTGTTTAAACGTTTTTCCAAAACTAAACAATTTTTTATTAGAGATATGACATTCTGGCCATGGTTTATGTTTTCCATACAAAAAACTGTATAGACCTAGGAAGACTAATGAACACACATACTCGACTGTGTAAACAACTTAGATATAAGACAAAAAAAACTCAAAACAAGATCTGGAGTCAATATTTATAAAAAGTAACAGTTACATTTCATTGAACACTTTGTGGAAGACATGTAAATATTACAGATAGGTCTACTAGTGTTGAAAAAGGATGAAATAAATACAAACAGAATTTAAAATCCCATAGGGATATATAAAAACATGGTTTTTCTTTAAAAGTCTCCATTTAGCAAAAGAAAAAAAACTTCTTCAGTACTAAGCATAAATACAAACATGTTTCTAAAATCTATGCCCTAAAGATTACCTGGTTATTATGACTAACATACATACTTAAAATCATCCAAGACATTTTTTCATTAAGTACAAAATAGGCCATATAGCTGTGACCATTAGTGTTAACAGTTGGAAATCGGATGCCTAAACAAACCATTCTGCAGCATAACTTCTCAAATCCTGAGTGAGATTGGGTTGAAAACAACGTTTGGGTCTATGATCCGCTATAAAGCCATTTTTTTATTTTGACTATCGGCCTCATGTCTTGTAGCTGCTTTAGCAACAGATCAGCACCATCTGAAAAAGTTGTATCCATGACAATCTTGACATTGCTCACTGCTTTGAGATTAAGAGGATTTCTGAAGTCTACTAACTTTTCACAGCCTCTGAACTCAATTTTACCTTTCATTGCAGATTTCTGTCTGTGAGTTAGTTGTCTTTTGGAGGGCAGTTCAGCATTAGATTTGTCATTTAATTTGCGTTTGGAAGAGTGGGTTGACTCTGAGGTTTCCAAAAACTTAAGGAAAGAGTCTTCAAGTCCTAAAGGCTTGAAAGACCCAGGCATAACCCCATCGTCACGTTGTTCTTGGGCTGTAGGGGTACCAGGATTTGAGTTCTCTCTTGAACTGCTAACAGTCAAACGATTCCTAAGGGTCTGCATCCTCTCCGGACAAGCTGGTGTTGGATGTGCAGGCTTTTTGGGACGACCTCTTTTCATTCCTCCATCTGTCCCAGTGGAAGCTTGAGATTCTGCACTATCATCGTTGGACAGCTTGCTGTCTTCTTGGCCGAGCCGATCCACAAGCTCATCTGTTTTCTGGTCACTGGGCTTTTCGCCATCATCTGGCTCCGTCTCCTCAGAAGATGAGGTTGACGCACCCTCTGATTTGCTTGAATCTTTGAATCTGGAGCGTGAGTATTTTTTGCAGAAAATGAACTGGCTCCTGTGGTCTTCAATATATCTTTCTGTGAGGCCATGAGTGGTGTAATGCTTAAATATATTTCTTTCAGCCCGCTCCACTGCATCGCAGCCTATTATCATGCATGGGTACTGCAGAGCAGACTTCTTGGTGCACATGGCTGATGCCTCATCGTGTGATTTTAGTGTTGGCTTTCCAAAACTAGTCCAGTGTTCAATGGACTTTCCATCTTTCTTTTTTGTGTTTTTCTTCTTCACTTTGAATTTGTTTTCAACATTCTCTTTCCCGTTGAGCCCTGGGAAGAGCCCCATTGCTTTAGTACGTCGTCCGTCACTTGTTTTAGGGTCATAAACATAAGCATGCTTTTTTATCAGGTGACGGAGGAGATTTGATTTTGTACTGTAAACACGGTCACATTCCACAAACTCACACTTGAAAGTTTGATCAACTGAGCCGCTTTCGGAGATGGCGATTTCCTTGTGATAATTCTTAATGTGCTCGATGTACTTTTCCACAGAGTTGAACGGGAGAGCACAATCAGACCGGTCACAGTTGAAAGTCCCTATGTTCATGCTGGCCATCATGGTTGTGGCTTTGTCACGAGTAAACTTGTGAAGTAAGAGGTAATGCTGCACTAACCTTGTGATTCCTAAGAACACCCTTGAACAGTTTTTCACCTGACACCTAACTTCATCGTCTTTGTCTATGCTATGATGGCTCTCTTGGCCATTTTCGACAGTCTCCATTTCTATGTCAGGTTCAGGTTTACTCTGGGGTAGGGATGCCTGATGCATGGCCCTGTAATGGAGAATCAAATTCTGCTGGATGGTAAATGCCGCAGTGCATCCTTCATGAACACAGCGATATGGTCTATATGGACTAAAGGGGTTGTCTGCATCACACATTTTGAGGCTCAACCTTTTCTGATGTTTCTCTTTCCTCTGGTGTTCATCCTTTGTTGGTGTGCTTTTAGAGCTTCCTGGTTTCTCTGGGGAGGATGAAGCAGACGCAATAGAAGGGCTAGACAGTGGCTCTTTTAGTTTGCTAGATGATGCATCTGATCGTCCGTGCTGCTTTTTCCCTTTGCCAACAGGACTGAGTTTCTCCTGTAAATGGCATTTCTGTTTCACATCTGGACTCTTGTTTAAAACAGCCACTTCAGGTTGCTCTGGAGCTTTTTCATGAACTGATGGTGCCACCTGACAGAGCGACATATCAGTCATGTAGTTTTGAGGTGGGGGAAGTTGTGCAACAATAGATACATCGGGAATGAAGCCCTGTTTACCGGCATCTCCTGGTAAAGTGTTCTGAGGAGCTTGTGGATTGTTCTCATTGTCTGTTTGAGGTGCAATTGCAATGTCAAGTGGTTCCTGTTTTATATTAGGTAACACACCTGCAGATGGTCCCGAACGACTGGAATTGGCATCAGTAGTCGCACAGCCAATTAACACATCATCTTTGTTCAGTCTAAATGCACGCCTGTTTCGAGCACTGATCCTTAGCTTCTGCATTTCTGCCTTTGACAATCGATGAACTTTTTCGTAGTGAATTCTCAAACCTGTCGTTCTCGTGAATGTTTTGGGGCATATCTGACAAGGATATGGAGACAGTTTGGATGGGGTCTTTTTAAGTTCTTCTATCATCTCATTAGAGTAATCATGCATTTTACTTAAGTGTTTGAATAATGCCTCCTTGGTCATAAATGAGTACTCACACTCATCCTGGTCACATTTAAAAGGCTTGGGGATCTTTTCAGTGGGCTTGTCATCACTTTTAGTTGGTATTTTACTTTTTTCAATGTCACGGGGTTTAACACGATGACTGACATTTTGCTCTAATGACAAAGCATTCCGCCTCCTTTCCTGTGCAGCCTCAATCAAATCTAACCTTTGAAAGGCATGGGAAATTTCCATCAAGTGATCCTCTTGACGAGGTATAACGAGGGGTGGATTTGCCAACTCTCCGGCCTTCTGTTGCTGGTTTTCGGAGGAGTCTGAATAGTCCATTATATTTGTATGTTGGGGCTCCTGTTTCATCAGCAAGGGTGAAGTCAAAGAAGTCAAGCTAGAAGATTCTTGTGAGAAATCACCATTTGACATGTTGAATGCTGCTCCATTTGTATCAACGACATTGGGGTCATTGAGAAAATCAAGAAAAGATGTTGGCAGATCAGCTGTTAGGTCAATTTCATCTACAGGCCTGCACTGGGAGCGTTTAGATAAGTGACCTCCGAGAGACTTGGTGCTTGTGAACTCTCTGAAGCATCTCCTGCAGATGACTTTGCCATCCTTAATGATGGCTGGCCATTTGGTTCGCTTGCTCAACCTGCCTCGTTTTCCTTTCTGCACGTCAGGGTCACCTGCCTTTTCATCTGAGAGAAGAGCCTCACAGTCAGCACCAGGCGAGTCTGCTTCATAGGTGAAATCTGTATGAATGACATTGTTTGAACTGAGCATTCCATCCACAGAGTCTTCCATGTGTTCATAACAAGGAGTGGAGACATTCTCTGTTTTAATTATTTCATTTGTTGCTTTTGATGCAAGCGGGGCCTCTGGGGTTAAACATTTCACAGGAATATCAACTGAGGAGCCTTGAGTAGGACAGGAGTTTTCACTCTGAGCATATGGAGTGTGGTAAGTTCCTTCAGCTAGGCTATCAATTGTTGAGATACTGTTTCCGCTAT